CAGCCAGGTTGTATTCAAAATAGAATATGTATGCATGTGATGCTGAAGGAATAAGGCTGGTGAGTATTTGATGACTTTTCTGCGCTCCTTGGAATACTTGATTTGAATAGAGTCTGTCTGCTTAGTCCCCATAGCTGTACAGCCTGGGACAAGGCATCTCAGCAGCCAGCTCTGAGCAAGAGCCACAATATTCTCTGGTGAATGAACAAGCTGTGAGTTCTAACCCAGTGTGTCAGATGCCACTAGGCATCCCCTAGTGGGGAGTGCTTTAGCCAAAATCCCTTATCTGCAGTCTCTTGGTGGGATCAAAGAGCACCTTTTGATTCAGCATCCTTCCCAGAAATCTGAGTGTTTGTGATGTTCAAAATCAAAAACTAAAATAAGGCCTTGCTTGGCAGGCACTGACTGTGCTTTGAGATTAGATGTCAAGTGCCAAATACTGTGGGAGAGGTTTTGGACAAACAGAAAGCAGAAAACAGCAGAAACCTCTCAGGAGATCCTGCTCTGTGTCCCATCTTGTGGTATGGTGAGAGTACAGAGAGAGAAAAGTGGTGGACCATGAGCTGGAGCCCTTTCTCAAGGGCAAGCAGTAGAAACATATATTCTTTATGTTTGGTAGCAGGAGTGAGGTGCACACAAAAATCTTACTAATTATGCTGCTCTAGGAGATGGAAACTCAACCAGACATACATAGAGCAGGGAAAACCCCCAGAACTGAGATAATATGAGCACCAGCCTCACCATGTGGGACCATAAGGGAGAAGGAGAGGGGCTAAGCAAGGTCACAAAAATTATCAAATTCTGTGAGAGCGTACATACACAAGAGTATGAAGACTTTGACAAAAGCTAGTGGTGGATCATTGAGAGGCCAAGGCAGTTAAGTTCCTGCTTTGTTACATAGATAAATTGCCAAAGGAAACATTATCCAAACAGTTCTACTTCAAAGGCAAAATGACAAGCTTTGGGGAACTTGCGGTACTTTCAATCTGGCCAATAACCAAGTGTAAAGTGTAAAATATACATGTTTGGGAAGTAGGACACATGCCGTTCAAGACAGGCCTTTCCCATGCTCTCAGACCAGTGCAGCTTCATTTGATGTGCAAATGCATGATGTGTGATCTGTCCTGGCAATGTGCTGCCTGCCAGCAGCACAAACATTTCACAAGCACCCTTTTGGGTTACTCCAGCCTGCTGTGTGCACAGCCTCCTTGGCAACCTCTGCAGCTGGAGCTTTTCTTACAGTCTGTTGCTGTGGTGGTTGCACAATCCAGGTTTATGTAGTGTGTCTCATCAAGAGACTCCAGGCAGTTAAAAACACCTTGAAAACATCCTGGAATTGCAGGATTTGATGTTAGATACTAGGATTAAATGACAATACAAGGAATGGTTACAGTAATGTATTGGGGAACATATCAGTAAGGTAGACTCAGTTGGTCCTTAAGGCAGATTGTCCCAGCAGATGTCCCAGCCTTCCTGGATATTGGTGACTTCAATATTGGATATTGGTATTATAGATGATGGCAAAGGCCCTCCATTATGTGTTCATAAATTTCACGTGAAATCAGGTGAAAAAAGTGTTCCCTGGAGTGCTTCCTGGCACTGCAGGCACAGCCAGAAATACATGTACCATGCACAGTACAAGCCAGCCTCCGTTATTTGATGAAACTCATCCTAATAACCCATGAAATGGAACAGTGCAAATGCTCACCATAAAGAAGCAGTGGATTGTAGGTGTGATCTCTCTTCAGTATGGGCTTGAGTGGATTTAAATGTATGATATCAGAAAAAAATAGTTGTGGTTTTATGATGCAACTGAGCTCTAGAATACCTGTGCTAGTGGGATGAGGCTGGCTTTTAGTGAGGGTTCAGGATGTAAACTCAGCTGGCAGAACTGATCAGAACCAACCATTCTTAGGAACCAGGGGCATGCAGATGGTGCTTTTCCTCCCTAACAGTAAGCTAAGGGACTTAGGTTGGGACATTATGGAGAGCTGTGGTGACTTACCCCAGTTGTACCAAGAGGCAAATCAGCCTTGTGCCTCCCCCTCACAGTGTTGGGACAGATTCCCAGTGCTGTGTGTATATGCAGCCTCTGGGCCTAAGGCATAGATAAGCAGGCACTTGGTGCTGAGCACTACCCAGTGCAGCAGCTGTGGCTACAAAGAAAACTTAACCTGCTCTCCACCACTGAACTTGTGCTGCAGCCAGCTGTAATCATCTGTTACTTGTGTTAACCTTGAATTCCAGCATGTCAGTTCCAGTCCTCTGAGAAAAATTAGGGAAGTGCTTATTGAAACCAGCATCCCAGCACTCCACACTGTGCTGGGTGGAAGAGGGAAGTGGGACCCCAAGCCTCAAGAGCCTTAGTAGTAGCATATTCTAGCCACACTTTAGTCATGTGAGATTATACCACTCTTCTCACGTTAGACTAATATATCCTTATAAATGGCCCAACTTCATGCTTAAGTCCTGCAGTTGCTTCAGGAGTTCTGAGCTTTCTGGCTGAGCCACACACAGTTCCCTGATACCTGTGCACTGTCAGTGGACACAGAAGATACAGTGAAGATACAGAAAGAATTATAGACTGTGTATTTAATGAGGACAAGGGAGGAAGATGGGTTTTATACAGCTGTAGTCTAATGTGCTGAGAGAAATCTGTTTGAATGGGTTGGGAATGCTGATGGCATCTAATAGCCACGAAGGCTTTTCCTGCTTCCTGATAGATATAGCACTGTGAATATCAGTCATTGTGGTATGAAGTTGTTATGAGAAAAATAACTTCCTGTGTTGATGGACTTAGCATGCAGTAAATGGAGACGTATGGATGCAAATGTAAGGTGGTAAATGTAGCTCTCCAGAGCTCTATGTGTAACCATGCAGAGTCATAAGTAAAAAGTACAGAGCATTGCTTGTCTTTGACTTCCTCTCTAGCTCAGCTGGTGCCCTGAATTCAGTGATATTATGGTTCTTTTTTTCCAGGACAGAACTGAGAAATAACAGGGTGCTGTGACACACAGTGCCACTGCATATGCAAGGCAAGATTTTTCATCCTGGCCTCTGTGGGGGAAAGAGCAAGAGCATTCTCTGTAGCAGGGCACAAATAAATGTGTGAATGCTATCCAAGTAGTATCAATATCCACTGCTTTGTCTGAAGGCCACAGAACTGAAACTTTTTTGCCTTTCTTCACATCCTTTTCTAGAAGAAATGCACAATTAGTTCCAAACTCTCCCTTTACTATGCCTGTACACTATTATTGCTACATTCACTTTCACTGGCTGGAACTTTGCTCATTTCACCAGAAGACACTCCTTGTTTTCAGTGGGTTCCAGAACAACCTTCCTTCCTTTGTTTTGCTTTCAGAAAAGGTCTCTATTGCTTGTGCCTGTGTGACTGCCTGGAGTGCTGAGACAGGTGGCAAGTGGGTCAGACAGATGGGGAGTATGGAAAGAGCTAATTGTCCACCCAAAGTCCCACAACAGAGCTGTCCATGACACTTGTTAAATAGAAATGGTACTCTGCTTGATATACACCTGATATTCCAGACTTTCAGGAACAGTGCTCCTTCCTAAGAATGCAATTTCCTTCCTATTATTGAGTTTTATTCTCTTTAATCTCATCTATTCTAGTCAAGTTACTTCATTGTGATTGCCTCTCAAGTGTTGATTAAACCAATGGTATTATTCTGAGGTGTGACCATTGCTTGCCATACAATGAAGCAGCTTGGCACTATTAACTGAGTATTACTTTACCTAAATAGGTACCATTTCAAAAAGGAATGCAGTTCCTGGCAATGAAAATAACCTGAAATAAAGGCAGTGCTTGAGGGAGAGCTATATAGTACCTGGCTATGTGAACTCAGTCTGTCCTTGTCCCGTTTTAGCATTTTGAAATCCAAGTTAAGTAGACTATCTCTCCATAAAAGCTCTGACTGATAATTTAATAATCTCTGTGTAACATCTACTAGAGAAAGAAAAGGCATCATGATTTTTTTAAAACATTATCCAAAAATCAAGCTGTGATGCAGCAGTTTGCAAGGGTGCCCCACTGGTTTTGATGACTTCAGACCTGCCCCAATAGCTAAACTTTATGACCATAAGGGTGAGGATGAACTTTGACTATGACCTAGATCTGCAATTCACAAGTGTTTTCATACAGCTGCAATAATATTCCAGAAAATGTAATTGGCCTTTTACTTCATTCACTTTTGCAAATGAAAATAAAGCTACTGTGAGAGCAGATCTTTTGCTAAGAAAATATTTTTTTTAATATTTTTATAGCTCTGTCAACAATAAAGGAGTCTCACAGTCTAAAGTCTTTCTCTAAACCTTTTTAATGGAAAAAACTTCATAGAAAATATCCTTTTACTTTTTTAATAACATATAACTATATACATGATTAAAAACTGTAACAAAAAGCTGCAGGGACTGGAAGAATGTTTTGTTGGATCCATGCAGATGGTACATCTAAAAAAGGATTTCACAAATCCATGTACATCAAATGGAGCTGCAGTGACAGGGTTGAAAAGAATGGCAACTCTATATTATTTACCTGAATGTATTGGGAATAAAGCACAGACATACAAAATACATGAAAAGAATACAAAAGAGTACATGGTGTAAATGCTGTAAGCACAGGAAGTTTCTTTTTAAGCAAATAGGAGAAAAGGAGTAAAATCTCCTTTTTCACATTTTATATTGCAGTTTAAAAGGTTGCTAATCTCTTACTTGCTGTATTTTGTTTTTTCTTCACTCTGACATACTCTACAGTAGAAGTATATGGCATTGGTATTTAACAACTCAGGAATACTTTGATTTATCTCCGTGTCTGTGAATGTACTGTCAGTTCTCAATAATGACATGTAGACATATTGCTTAAAAACACACACAGTTTGACATGAGTTACAAAATGTTGAGGGCCACCACATTACAAAGTGCTGGAGACTCTTGTCCTGATCCAACAGTGTGTTGAAGGACACATACAACTTCAAATCTAAGAGGAACTCCTCAGAGACTAAAGGAAGTTAAGAACATGCAGAAGTTAGTTTCTTATCAGGGCTGGAGTTTGAACAGTTCATAGCACAGACTCTGCAGGTAGGAAAACTTACACCTGAGGCTGTAATTCTGTCCTTACACCTCAGATCGTGTAGCTACACTGTGTGGATTATTTATTGTACTTCTAAAATAGATTTTATTAATTCTAAGTTAAAACATAAATGAAACCTCTTTAAAAGAATCTGGGGAATTGGTGAGTTCTGCAGCTGAAAAAAGATAGTGTTTAGTTTGTCAGTGATAGATTTGAAGAGATTTTGTAGGCAGCAGGTAATAATGTGACAGGCTGTAAACACCTCAATTCTGAAAGAACTTTCTTATATTTTTGTCCTGGATCAAAAAACCCCAAATAATTGAAAGTTCAGTACCAGCCAGTAACATCATCTGTGGTGCACAAGCATGGTGAGGATGGCAAGACATCATTTAGTAAAAGCTGTAACAAGTACTTAATGATTCCCAGTGTAATCACAGGCAGTTTAATAGCAGACAAATAAATGGAGCCTGTGCGTGCATATATTTGTTTAAAAAAGAAAAAAAGGTGAAAGCAACAACAGTAACAACAACAAAACTAGACAAGCAGTGAAAGCTAAAATATTCTGTGAAGCCTTGGAATCTGTTCCTGTTCTCGTTAACACCCACCCACCCTGTCTGGCCTTGCTCTTTTGGCAGGCAGGTAAATCCCTTCAGGTTCCTGTGAGTGAAGGAGGACTTTTTGCTTATAGCAAGACATAAAGTAATTACGAAAATAAGCTTTGAAATCCAAATTGCTGCGAGCCATGAAAGCCAAATCTCACTGATAAGTATTTGGCTTTCATTGGCCATGCAGCAGATTGATTCCCTCCCCAGTCTGACCTCTTTCTGTGGGCGTGCTAATTGGAAAGTTGCCACTATGCCAGGTTTGAGGCCATTACCATTCAGAGTCTTTTATTTTTTAAGAACATCAATGACACTTGTTTGCGTTGTTCATTGCTAGTGTTCTGGGTAAAATCTGGGTTGTAGAGCCCTGGTTGAAACTACAATGTCAGTACAAGGCAGGTCTGTTTGAGAAGGCAACCTGAAAGCAGTAAGACTTATTTTGTTTATTTAAGGAAGAGATAAATGTGTGTGTGCATGCATTTGCATTTAACAGTTTTATAGCTGGAACCATTATTAAATGATGCCCAGTAGCAATTTTATCTCGTTAAGATTTGTTTTATAAAGATGTAACGATTCTCAGGAGAGTTTTATGAAAACATGCAAAGTTGGTTTGCATTACGTACTCAGTTATGTGCCCAGTATATATGTTGCAACTTAATTTCTTAAATATATATTGTGTAACACTTTTTATTCCTGAGTGCTGGTCTCCATAAGGAATAGAGAAGGTGGCATCATGTGCTCTTCTGCACAATACGGTCCTCTGTAATTTTAGGAGTTCTTCTGAGGGATCTTTATTGTCACAGTTTTAACTTCAGAATATTCTCTCAATCCACATTCACCCCTAAAGAACAAAATGCAGCATCAGTTTATACCAGGTATTGTTTATCGAGAAAAAATCTGCAAAGTGATTTCTTGACAAAGTTAAGGTATAACTCAGAATTGCAGTTCAGTTCAGATCAATGGATGGCTTCAGAATCTGATAAGGAGATACAGAATATTAAACCCAGAAATACTCACTGTCTGTTGATGGAGCTGTTGGGAATAATTTGATGTCCTTTGTCCTTCCTAGACCTTGAAAAAGTCCAAATACTAAGACCTACCCCACTGGCCAGTGAAATTACTGTTTATATTGCCTTCAAGAAAGGGAAGGTCCGCACTGAGCATAATGAAGAATTAACTACTCACAACCATGGATAAGATGAACTTGACTCCTAACCCGCTGATCTTTTCTCCCTAGCAACACATCCAGCAGTAGAAATCACCTTTGCACATAATGTGGAAGAGGGTTCAGCTTGCTCAGATTCCCTTCTACAATTCTCTGTGGAATTCCTCGTTTTGTCCTGGCACAGGACCTTACATAAGAACCTCCATACTGCTGGAGACCAGGCACCTCCTAGGTCCCAGTCATCTGACACATGGCTCTGAGGGAGGCACATTCTGCTTTGGATAGATTCTGCTTAAAAAGTGGGTGTTTCTGAATGTTGTTAACATTTTGCTTCAGTCAGCTGCAGCCTGGCTCATCTCTTTGGCCTCTGTGCTGAGGTTTAGAGTGGATGTTGCCTGGCTTCGTGGGACTTGCACTTGTCTTCTCTGAAGTACAGGTATTTCTATTTTCCTGTGCCTATTTTGAGTAATGGAGAAGTCTCTTTATGTCATTAGTGAAGTTTGTCTTTCCAAATGCTGTGTCTGTGAAGCAAACACTGTCCCCACCTCAAAACAGGTACAGTCCCAGTCTAGAAGTAGAATAATACCTCTTCCATATTAACTCAATGAGGATTTTCTTTTTCAGGAGCTCTTACAGACATTTGTTTCTTGGTTGAATTTTTATTCTCACCCCTAAGACACACACAGTATTGCTCTATTACTTATATTAAAATGTAGAACATGTTAGCATGGATATGATGTTAGCATGTTTACTATTTGACACTGAGTCCCCTCTGGATTCTCCTGTGAAGTACTTAATGCCAATTGAACCATAAAGAATATTTCAGAGGAATTCCTTGGAACCTCCTTCTAATGAGTGTTTCAGAATGGAGTGAGTGGCCACTATTTAAGGCAATTAAATCCCTCTGCAGGCCCCCAGTGCTGTGCAACCCATTTTGTATTTACTCCTACACTGCAGATTTTAATGAAAATATAACATTGGGGTGAAAGTCCTGTATCCTTCCTTGGAAAGCTAATTCATTTGAGCAGAAATATCAGTATTTACCAGCCCGTGTCACTTCATCTGCAGTTTTGAAAGCTGATGTGCCTGTTGGCTTGGGAAGCCTTATACGTGATATAGTGGTCAGTGTTTAAGGGATACAGCAGACTGATGATTTGGTAGGAAGTCTTAAGGTTTACCAGACTCTAAGTACCTGCAAGCAAGTATTAGTGAAGATTTTTTACATGTGAAAGGTTCCCATTGAGCTGAACCACGCCAGTCCCACCTTTCAGTAGAAAGTGGTGGATTTGTCTCCAAAGAATGACCAAAAACTTCAGCTGTTTATGTTTTCAGCATTCCCTTAGGGCTCAGTGGAAGCTGTCACCAGGAGCTGCCTGGAGCCCAATAAGTAATGCTAGTGAGTGTCTGTGTGGAAGATTCTGGATTCAGCAGGGCTGCTGTGTAGCTCCAGACACCCATTGGACACATTTTTGCAAGCCAACAGATAACCCAGCTGACAGCAGCAAGTGACTTTATGTACATTCCAAATGCTACTTATCTCTCATCTTGTTCTGCCACACAAAATTAGAGACAATTATTGTCTGTTTCGTCAGCTCATGGCTTCAGGACTTTACATGGGTTTTTTTTTCTGGTCAGTTTGGAAAAGGAGAATTGTGATGAATTCTAAGGCAAATATTTTTCAAAAGTTGAAAAGCTACACTTGCTGAATAGGAAGATGGGTTATGCCAGACATTCAGAGCAGAAGAGTCGGTGTGTGTTTAGCTAAAGGGCTCAATTGTCCCCACAGCCTAATACAGAGAGCAAAACCGTCCTGTTCCATGGCCACCCTGGATCTTCTGGGATAGCACTTTGGTATCAGAGTGAGAACAAAGGTTGGGTCTGTGAAGAGGAAGGAGCCATGGGTCAAATTTGCATGGTACTGTCCCTTGATTGTGTAGGTGTGAGGGAGGGGGAACAAAATGCTTTTTAAGAATAAATATTAAATATTCTCTTCCCTCCCTCAGTCCAGGAGAAAAAAAGATAAGGGAATTAGAACTCCAAGCTGTTCCTCTGCTTGCACTTGTTTTTCAGAATGCAGCTGTGCAGTGCTGTATCTCAGAGCTATCCATACAATAACAATTCCTATGACATTAAAGGAGAGTTCTGAAATAGAATGGCACTTCCTTCCCTTGAAGACATTTGGACAGAGGCCAGAATTTTGGGAAGCTCTAATATAAAATGGCCACATGTGGCTATCTGGGGTGAAACACCCAATTTTTAGTTACAGGAGTTAAATTTTACGTCTCCCAGGTAAGAAGCTTTAAAGAAACATGAATGAAAAAACCCCATGGCTTCTAGACCTCTTCAAGGATACAAGAATATTGTAAGTAGTGTTAATGCAATCAGAAATCACCTGTATTGTGCACTCTACCAGGATGCACATACCCTGCTGCCTTCTGTGGGAGTGTAAAATAAGCATAACAGTTCTCAACTTTGTGTTGATTTTTGCCCATGTGTGATGATAACCTGTGAATTTAAATGCAGGACCAGAACAAGTCCCAGATAATGCAGTGCTGGCACAGGCAGCACAGTGGCCCAGTTATGATCTGGCTGTAACATAGTGTCACCTTAGCAATGACACACTTATGTATAGACACTTTTTTTTTTCTGTAATTGCCCAACTCAACATAATTTATGCTGTAAAATGTGTGCCTTAAAAACAAGAATGTAGGAAACTGGCATTTTAATAAAAAGTATGCAGGTATTAATGCAGGGTGGAGGAGGTGAATTAGAAGGTGATATCTGATCAAAGAGGTTCTGAAAGGAGTAGAATAATTACTCATAGGTAGGCTTTCAGGCATCTTTGTGAGATGGAGATTATTGCCATTCCAAACATTTATTGTTTATGATGAATACTTTCAAAGCTGTAGTGGGAATCAAGTGTGCAATTACCACAGATTTTTGCATGAGAGCTGGGGTGCTGCCTGGGTTTCCCCCCTTTCAAGAGCTCTGCAGCATTGATATGTGAATATTTTGCTTGCAGTTGAACCTCCCTGGAGTCAGTGGGGTCACCCCTGGGTGTCAAGTTACTCATGTGCTCTATCAAGCTTAGTAGTTTTAGAATATTTTCACAATGATAAGAGTTAGATGACCTGACATATTTATGCCAGTGTGAGATCACCTCATAACTCATGAATGTGAATAGTATGAATGTGTTATTCAAAGTACTCCCTAACGAGGGAAAATACTTCAGACTACATAAAGCTTATTTTATAGATCAAGTTGTATACTTCAACATATTTAAAGTTTTAAAGAGTTTGACCTTACTTTAGTTTTACTGCTGAGTTTGCCATTAGCCATAAGCTATTTTGAAAACTTAGGTGAGACATATCTGGTACACATACCTCCTGCACAGAAATTAATTGAATCCTTGGTATGTAACCAATCTGGGGGTGATGCAATTGCTAAACTTCCTTGTGATTGTAATGAGAAACTGGTAAGACTTTAAATTAGGTACACGGGACAATATTTGAGTGTGGAGCTCCATTTCAAAATATTTGGCACTTATTGCTAAATGGAATAACAGAAAGCTTTATAATGGCAAGTGGATTTTTTTCAGAGATGTAAACACATTTGTTTACTTCTCTTTGCCTGATTTCATTTTTAAAAAATCTGCAAGCTGATAACTTTTTTATAAAATTCAAATGCACCTATATTAATAAATATAGTGAAAACTGAAGAAAGGAAAGGAAAAACTACCAAGGGAGGCACAATACATGGCAAAAAACTCTGAAACAATACACCAAACCATTCAAAAAGCACTCAGCAGCACGAGAGTCTTTCTGAACAGTGATGCTTGATATGGCTAAAAAATCCTTCAAGAAATCACAGGTTACAAGTCCAGAAATATACTCAGAACTTTTCAGTTCCTTTCAGGATAAGAAGAGAATTCCAATAAGTTAGTTTGCAATGTTAATTAAAAAAAAAAAAAAAAAAAAAAAAAAAGTCTTACAATGCAAATCAATTGCATTTAGAACTGATAATCATGAGTAAAAGTCACCTTATATTATGCCCCGATTCTCAGGTTGGAATACTTCTGGATCTTAATTTTCATGGAAGCATTCACTAATGTTTATTAAGTTGTAGAGTTGAAAACAATTTAGAAAACAACAGTGCAATACTTACATCTCTCTCCCATTGCCAGACATTTTGAATCCTCCAAAAGGACTTTGGGCATTTAAGGCATTGTAGCAATTTATCCTGCAACAGGAAGAGGCATTAAGTCCAGCTGCACTGCCAGAAAGACCTTTGGATAACTCAGACAGAGGCTGAAACTTGTGGAGCTAAGGACACTCTATACCTCTTCATAATAACAAACTTGTTTCATGTTGAAAAGAAATGAGGGACTTATGCTACAAAAACAACAGTCTGCTTCTCACTCCTAAGGAGAATTGGATTTGACCTGTGAAGGCAGGAGGAGAGCACCATACCCTTGGACACATCTTCAGGAATGAACTGTTAATCTGCTGCCAAACCTCAGTGCCAGTTTATAACAAAGAGCTGTTAGATTTGAGTTTGCCCTTTTCCTCCCTGATTTCTTGCAGATCTTTACTCAGGTTTCACATACTAAATTGCAAGCTACTAAACTCTAGAGTTGGCATTCCCCATTCCTAAAGACTGGAGAGGAGGTGTCCCCTCAGTTCCTTAATGTTGTAGAAAGTAGGTAATCCCTTGTGCCTTTAGTAAACCCTCCCAGGTTTCCTGTGCTGCCCAGAAAGGATCATTTACCCTGGCTGTTCTCAGTAGGGCTGCTCAGCAGGGGCTGCCCTGTTCCTGGGAAGCAAGGTGCTTTCCAGCTCCAGCAGCATTCCCCAGCACTGAGCAGCCACAGAACCTCCCCACTGCTGTCCCTGGCTTGGCCAGTGATCCACCACTAGGATGGGCTGCATGAGTATTCTTAACAAAGGGTCCAAAACTGAAGTGAAATGATAATAGTGAGTCAAACTCTTTTATCTTCAAGAGCGGGAGTGGGGTAACTTCTGCTTACCAGACTGTCCCAGCCTGCATTGCTGAAGAGACTGTCAGGGCCTTGTTTATGTCATTAGTAAAGACAGCTGCTACCAGCCCAAAATCAGAGTTGTTGGCTCTCTCTATAACTTCATCCATGGTTTTAAATCTCAGTATTTCTTGAACAGGCCCAAAAATCTGCAACAAAGATTAATAATTAATAAACTACCCCCCTCAGAGGCATTTTATTCTTGTTTTATTCTGCTTTCTTAATTATCTTCTCTGTCCTATTATACTCTTTAAAATTTCCCACAGCAAAATTTACTGATAAATAGTGATAATATCTGTCTGTAAAACTGCATGAATTTTCCAAAGCAGCTGCCTCAGGTGAACTTGTCCATTCTACCCATATCTCCTCTTTGATATCTGAGACCTTACAGTCAGTGACAAAAATTGAGTTTCCTTACCCGCTGATGTCACTTGCTGTGTGCATAAGGAGTTCTGAAAAGACTTTTTTTAATATGGTCATAATTTTCACTCTCAAGTTTTTGTCTTAGGAATTAAACAAAAGGAAAAAAAGTAATATTTAGGATATTTTAAAAAGATCTTGCCCACACATGTGAATACCTCCTCCTTGGCAATCCGCATGTCATCTGTTACATTGGAAAACACTGTAGGTTCAATGAAGAATCCCTTTCTTCCCAGCCCCTTTCCCCCACATTCAAGTTTTGCTCCTTCAGTGATGCCACTTTGAATCAGTTCCAAGATCTTGTTGTATTGTTTTTTATCAATCTGAAAGAGAGAAAAAGCTGTTTGATGTGCAGACCATGTACTTGACAACCAAGTTCAAATAGGTGTTGTCAGGCTCCAGTGAATTGGTTCCTGCTTCCATTCACTGCTCTTTGAGCTGCAGATGACAGAGATGTACAAGCAGGTGCTGACTGTGACCTCAGGCTCAGACTTCTTAAGATGTGTCACTTTATGTTTGTGGCTTAACCCACGCTCTTGCTAAACAATCTAGTTTACAAGCACAAAAAAACCAAATCATTAGGTTTTGCCCCAGATTAACTTCCTGAAAATGTTATAAACCCAGCTGGTTATTAGTGCAGGAACATTTTCTAAAGACTTATTTCTGATTATGCTCAGCTTCTGCTTAGAATTTCCAGATATCCAAGCACAATTATGGTTGTAGACAGTTCTTGACAGAGACTTTTAAGAGCTTCTCACTTTACAGCTGTATTTTGGGGGCTAAAGATCCAAATCTTGCTCTTAAAACTGGGAGGCAAACATTGCTATTTAAACTGGGATTTTTTTTTAAATTTATTTAACAAGAAACACCTCAGAGCTGCACAGCCTATTTACTCCTTTAGAATTTTAATCTTGAAATCATGTATCAGCTACCCTGGACCTTGAGTGAATGTTCACTGGCTGACCTCTGCCTTAGTGGAGTTTAAGTACTTCCAGGCATGTCCTGGGCTGTAGAGCCCTAATCCTTTACCTGTGGACCTTGCTCTGTAGTTGGGTCAAAAGGACTGCCCACAACTCTCCTCTTTGCACGTTCTACACTTCTTCTGACAAACTCTTCATAGATCGATTCTTCCACGTAAATCCGTGAGCCTGCAGTGCAGCATTGACCTTGATTGAAGAAGACTCCTTGGTGAGCTTGTTCCACAGCATAGTCCACTGAAAAACGAGACAGCACATGTTGCACTGGAACACCGTGGGCAAATCTGCCTTTGCACCAGTGCTGTGTGCATTTATTACACAGTGCCACATTCCTGAAACTTCAGTAGTAGCATTTGGTTAAATAAAACTAAATCAAGATATCCTGTAGTGGTGTCAGGTGAGAAATGAGGATGACTCCCACTGGAAAAGCTAAGACAGTGCCTTAGCAGTCAATAGGAGTAAGGTGTGCAAGAACAACTTCACCAATGACTTATATCCAGCAACACGTCATTTACCAAGTAAAACCTCAGAGGTAACCTCAGAAGGGAACCTCAGAAGCAGGATGTGCCCCTCATAAATACATCTGACTGGGTCACTATAGGAGAAGAAAATTTGTCTGTGATCCTAAGTTGACAATGGGTTATTAATACTTCAGGTGGGAGAATTACAGCAAAACAAATACATAGGTAAATTTGACTTTGATAATGGCAAGACCTGTCCTTTGATAATGGCAAGACCTGTCCTTCCCAAAAAGCCAGATTCTTTTTCTGTAACATAGAAATTTCCTTTTGGCCCATGCAGGTGACTGGGTAAGGCCTTAAAATTATAGGTCTGTTATAGAACAATCAACCCTTGATTTCTACTCTAACTTCCTTGGAGGTACAGCTAACACATTCTGTCCTAGCAGGAGAGAGGATCTGGTCATATTCAGACATTCAAGGCCACATTCTTACTTTGGGTGTAATAACTGACTAGACAAGAAGAATGAATTAATCCCTGAACAGTGATGCCCTACGGCACTGTAATACCTCTGTTACCAGTCGTAGCACTTTGGAACATTGCTTAAAGTATAATCTTTTATGGACTAAACAAAGCAACAGTGCTTGACTTTCAGCACACTCTAGACAACTCTGTCTAACAGAAAAGTCTTTTTATGCCCTCAGTGTGGTCTTAAGAAAAATTATATGGGGTGTTCCCTGGACCACATTTAAATTTTCCCTGGCAGCTCCATGGAGATTGAAAGCACTAGTGGATAGCTGTGATTAACTAATGTTTCTTCTCTATTGTTAGCAGTTTTTCACCATGAGGGGCTCTAACAATTCTCCATTTTTTTGGTGCACTAAACCTTCAACAGCTTTATCATGCTTTCTGCTAACTTTTGGCACACAGTGTTCCTCAAGCAGAACAAACAATTCCTTTGGAACGGTGAGCCAGTTGCTGTTTTTAAATAATCAGAGCTTTGAAGTTTAAATCCTAGGCCAAGTACTGGAGGTTTTAATTGTGGGAAGACCAGACAGCAGCTGTCCTTCCCCCATGGAAGGTCATAACACAGACCTGCCCTGGCACATGTCACTCTACCAGAAATGTTTAGGTGTTCAAGTGTGAGCTAGCAGGTGAGGGATGTTTGAGGTGTGGTGATACCTGGTGGGAGGTGGAGATGAGTAACTGGGGTAGAAGGCTGGAATATCTGTGTCTGGCTCCGGCTGACAAGAGCTTTTTTAGCTTACCAGGATCACTGGCTGAAATTTCAATCCTTGACATGGTAAAAGAATTTCTTTGTAGAAAAACTGCTGGAAGTTGTCAAACTTTCCCTAGTTTTTCAGCTATTGATACGTTTTGAAAATGGATACAGGATTGTAACCATCTCTTGTAATTGCTGCAATTCAAAATCATTCTATTCACTTCCCCCTTTTAAATGAGAAGACCAAATCCTTATGTCTATTTACTGGCGTTGCAAAGTTCTCAGAAAGGGCATTGAGTACAGTGTGCCTGCACCCAGCCTGAAACAAGAGCTCAGAGCAAGGTGTGAACCATCTCATTCATCTTAGCGGGTGTTAACTTCAAAACCTCCTGCTGACAATTTAGATATCAACATTGTAACTATTTCATTGCTGATCATTTAAGCAGAAACTTCCAGTTTGTGTTTATATCCTAAGCTAAACAGCTGTCCTGTACCTTCTCAGGTGCCAGAAATCTCAGCTGCACAACATCATACATCTGCCAAAATGTTCAGCTCCCTGCAGACAGTGGCAGTGAGGATATTTCAATACACAATTCTTTAGTTATGAAAATTTTAGAAATGGAATCATCTCCCTTTACAGCTACTTAACAAAGGAATACTTCACTGACTAGGTTAACAAGTCACGTGTACATAAAAGTTGTCCCTTTTTATAATTGCTTTGAACCAAAAAAATCACAGAATTTCCAGATTTAAAGCACAAAATCACCTTGCTGCAGAGCATAAGATGGCAAATGTGTGCGGGACTAACTGTGAAAAACACCATGTCTATATGCTTGGTTATAAACTTTTTTCTGCTCTCTTGCTGACTATGAATGTGTGGGTTTAAAAGTTGTATTTTATGAAAGATAGCACATCTTTGATCACTTCTGTAGGATTGAAAAGTGCCATTAGATACAGCTGTATTGCTTCACTTCACCTTATATGAAAGATGTGCCCTAAAAATAGTTATAAAAAAATGAAAAAGACATCATGCAATCATGTTTTTAGCAAAAATATGGAAGTGCTGACTTACAATCAGCATCTGCGAAAATAATGTTTGGGCTTTTCCCACCCAGCTCCAGTGTAACTCTCTTCAAATTACTCCTTCCAGCTGCTTCTTGGATCAGCTTCCCAACCTGAAAGGAAATGGAGACACATTTTACAGGGAATGTAGTCATACAGTTCATTTTAACAGCCAGGGCTGGCTATCAGTAGAACAGAGCTTTAAATAATCCAGCAGGTTCTTCGTTCCAAACATATTCTCATCAGTAGTGGACAGCTTTCCTTTTTTTTTTTCCTAGAAATTGAGAGGGGATAAGGCACAGCACTAAGTCTGTATACCATTCACCCCTATGCAGCTATGCTAAAATGGCTTGGGGCTTTCTTTTAGAGCACTTTAGGAGGGCTGAATTAGAAATTTGAAATGGATGTGACTTCAATTACTTCCATCCAAACCACTGACATGTTCACAAGGCTTAATACATCAAATTCTGATGAAATCATCTTCCTCCTCTGAAGGATTAACAGCACAGAGCAGAATACCAAGTAGGCAAGAAGTTACAAAAGCACCATCCCAGACCTGACCCACAGCTGCACCACAGATAATCTTAATACGGGCTGAGGAGGTCAAAATCACCTCCAAAATGTCTTTGTAGATTGTGTGGTCAGCTGGAGCAGCCACAAATTGCAGATCTCACTAATGAACATGAGTGTAGATTAAATGGAGTAGCAATCTGACAGCTACAGATCTGATGTGCTTCCACATCAGTACAGTTGGAGGGGTAGCTGTGCTCCCTGGAAATTCTCCTCTCCCTGGATCAACAAATCCAAAATAGATCAGCTTTTGTATGGTTGTGGTATAACTGTGACCATTTTGCAGCAAAGGAAGTAATCACAGGTAGATTTAGGCTCTTACATGGTAAAACACAGGACTAAAAGTACCTATTGAATATTGAGGAGCCTAAGAACTTTGGTAAGTGCTTTATTTTAACTGGGACATGTTTTAATGCCACACAGAAAGTTAGAGGTGAAGTGAGATGAGAGCGAGTCCAGAGGTGGGCTTTTTTCTCCATGTAGTACTCTGGTCTCTCTGCTTTCTATTTCTAAGGTTATGTGAGTGAGATTCCCTGCAGCAAGGGGTTAATGGATGAGAAGCTGAACCTCTTAGAGAATTGAAGGCAGTCTGCTAGAGAAAGTTATGTCAGCACTGGAGTAATCAGAAAGCAAATGAAACAGAAACCAGGGCCCCCAAAGGGAAAAAAAAAAAAAAAACAAAAAAAAAACAACCAAAGGAAAAACCCCACAGGATAATGAAGGAATTGTGAACCACTTTATGTACCTTTGTGATTAACTGTTTATCTGGTGATACCACAGTTGAGTGTGACTGAGAAAAAAAAAAAAAAAGCTTTTTTTCTTTACCCCTGTATTGATGGAATGGAGTGTTGACATTATCATGAAATTCCTTGAATATCCCCTTAATTGGAGCTGATTTTATTGCTATGTTTGACTGACAGCCAGAAGTGAACCTGAAAAAAAAGAATCCTTTTTGCTTTCCACCCCCACCACATACATCGAGCACGTCATCTGGAAATTCCAGCCTCTCAAACTGTGCTAAAAATGTACACTGGAAACCAGAGTTCTGTGTTTATAGCCCGTGCCAGCCAATGCCATTCACACCCTCACTGCCTTGAACTTCCCTCTCTCAAAGAACAACAACCAGGTATTTCCCCTCAAAAATTCACAAAGAGCAGGACAGGCCAAGAAAACCAGAGCAATGTGTCCAGCCCTCATCTCTCTGCTTTCCATTCTACTTTAATGTCAAAATGCTTTTGTACACGCAAGTAAAGACTTTGAAAGGATTCCATGCAAACAAGTAATTGACAAGTATGCAAGTATAGTATATGGTAAATATTCAAGTCCAAAGGGCTTTGAGACAGTGGTGTTAATTTGGAAGAGTGTAATCTGAGGTATTTTTAATACGGAGAAGTTGTCAAGTTTCCCAGTAAAAACTTAATAGAAGGCTTCACTGTGTCTTTCCTGTTAGAGATCAGTGTAGACATCAGGATGGTGGGGCTCACGCTGCTCAGCATTTTTGTTCACTGTGCTCCCGTTGTGCCCTGTGCACTTACAAGTTGAAAAAAGTCTCAGGGAAGGCACCAGCACCGTGGTTATTTAGTGACAAAGGCGGCCTTTTGTGACTGGCCCTCTCTGTATGGAGGGAGACAGCCTGAAAGGGATAAGTGATAGTGTTGCAATCTGCCTGGCCTTTCAGGACACGCTTCCCGCGGTGTCTCGAGCGATCCCCGAGCTCCCAATAGGCAGCACAGCCCGGAGAGGGAACGCTGGAAGAGAGGACTCCCCCACAGATAATGGAGCTGTGTGATTATTCGGCAGGAATGTTGGCAGAGAAAGCCCTGACTCCCCAGCCTGGTTTTGAATAGGCTTCAAGATTGATATCAGGAGTATCCCCGGATAGCTTGTGAAGTACCATAACCTTGTAAGCTGCATGGAGGGTGAGGCAGATGTAATTTGGTCCATCTCAAAGAAAACAATTTGTTATGCAGACCAACAAAAACAAAGATTAGAAAAGTAGTTTGGGGCACTCCTGTGCAACAAAGCTATTTGAAGGATAGTCCTGGAAGGGTCTGTTTCTGGACTGTCTATGGTGTGACACTGGGCAGTGAGAATGTATCATGATCTAAGACATTTTATTGTTTATTTATGCCTTCTCTGTATGGCAGTTTAATGTCTCCTTCAAGAGGAGGCTTAAGCAGTCACATTTTAAATACTTTGTGCAGAAATTTAAAAACGTTTGCTGCCTTTCATGTTCACTTAATTTTCTGTTTTCAGACAGCAAACTGTATTTCTAAAGGGTACCTGTTACTGTTGGAGCACTCAAAGTCTCATGAGTCAAAAGCAAACCTCCACGGTTTGTGCTATTCCTCTTCAGCTCTGTCATTCAGAATATCTGGGTTCTCCTTTGAACCTTCCTTTGCTCACAGATAAACAGTGAATCATCAGGAACACCTGAATATAGGGAGCTGCAGTCTAGCTGAACAGCAGGTCATTTTCTTAACACAGCCACAGACAAGACAGTGAAGGGAAGAACTGCACAGAGAGAGGTATGGATTGAAATATTCCATGAACAATGCAAAATATGACAGTGGAGATACACATCATCAATTAGTTAGGCATTTTAAATAATATCTTTTCTTGGGATATTGAGAGAATATCTGCAGGACAGTAAGTGGTTTAAGTCACAAGAGATTAATTAAGTTTTGTGGAGATGACGTGGCCAGACAGAAATTTTCAATGTTTTCTGGAAGTGCAGTTTTCTCTCTCCAGCTATTGAGACACTGGATGTCGTTGTTTTGGCAAAACCCTCAAACCATGCTGCTGCTCACTCAGTTTGCCTTATTTTTTATTAATTCCAGATTATATGCAAAATATTTCTAACAAGCATTTTAGAGCTTCCTGGCATGTTCAGGGTGTGTCTCCTGCAATGACAAGCAAATTTGGAATACTGGCACAAAGAAGAGCAGGTTTATTTGACTGTGTGAGGAGCAGCGTGAGGAGCAGTCCTGAAAAGAGCATACTGAATAGTGCAGCACAAGTGAAAAGGCAATCCTAAACACAAATTCCTGGAGGGAATCCTAAACTACAAATGGCTCATTTGTTCCATAGGTTAAATCCTGGCCCCATGGAAGTCTGTGGCTAAACTCCTGCTAATGTTGATAGGACTGATACACCATCCTATTTGTACTGGGTTTAAGAAGGTGATTCCTTTTCACATGCATCTTTTGTAGGCAAAAAGGCACAACATTTGCCCAGGAACAGCTTCCCAAATGCTACCAAAAACACGAAGGAGAAGGGAAACAACTTCTCATTCAGGAGGCACGAGCTGTCCAAGATAGGATCCAAAAGATTCCACAGGAGCAGGAATGAATGCTAATGTAGCCTCCCTAAATCCTTACACAGGGCATGTGTGTAGAACCATAAGCTCACAGACTTCTCAGAACAGGTCAGATCACCTTTAGGATTCTTTTTGCTGCAGTAGAAAATGCCAGGTTGCAATTCTTCATGAAGCCTAAAAGCAGCAAGAGAATGTGTGATCCAGAAGAACTCACACAAGCCATTGCCTGTGCAGTAGGAAGACATTCTGTCTACATCATGCATTGGGACATTCATCTCACTTTGGAAATGAAAGGAGAATCCTGCTGAGTAAATTAGAATCAGTGGTAATACAGCTGTTAGCTACAAACATTTGTTTGGCATGAATCAATCTCAACTCTCCCGTAGTTTGCTTTGATGGTCTCTCTAGTATCTTGTTGACTAATGATGAGATCATGGTTTGTTAATCTAAGTGCATAAAGAAAACATTCTGCCAAGCAAAATGCAGACTCTTTTGCTGGGGTTTATTGCAGTTGTTTATAGACCTTTTGTTTACACAGGCATCCAAACCAATTTGTTGGATATTTATTTGGGTTACTCTACAGAGCTGCCTGAACACAGACCTGAATCCTATCTTAAATCTGTCTGCATTTTAATGGGTCGTAGTTTGAACAAAGTGGAAACCAGCCACTTAGGATACATTTCTTGTTGGCCAGAACTTCAAATGTTTTCTGTGCTATCTATAATTCTCATCTTGAGAGCATTTAACAACTGGAGAGAGTTGTAGCCAGTCTGATTTGGAGGTTACACATTTGGTTTTAAACAGAAGTTATTAGAACTCATTAAACTTTTGCAACAATCAAAATACAATTTTTATCCCAGGCAGGGCTTTAAATCTGCATTCTAAAATATTTATAACTTCTTACTCTCCATAATCATCTCTAATTTTAAACCCAGAACATACTGCCCTCAACTTCTCCCTGTGTACCAGGAACTTCTGGTTACACCATCCCCACACCAATTCCAGTTCAGGTGGAGCACACAGCTAGCGACTTGGGCAGACAGCTCACAGCAGGAAAATGGCTGTATTTGCAAAGCCTTAGCTGAGCTCACAGATATGAATGGAAATAAAGGCAAATTAAGAGTAAACCAGCTTCTGATGGCTGCTTTTCTCTGATATTTGAAGGCCTTTCACATCTTTGGCATAGCAAGCATTCTTTCAGAGAATAAAAAAGTAATCTGAAGAAACTCTTTGCATTTCTGGTATGTGTAAAAATTGTCCCCTCATCAGCATTTGTCTTGGAAGTACATAAAACCCACTGTTATTTCACTGGGCAAGAGACTTGTAGAACATTGCTAGTTCTAATTAAATCATTGCTAATATGTTTTTTTAAGAAACTCAGGCACGAATGTGTGGAACAGTGAGGAAGCTGAGGCAGAGAGGGGCAGTGCAAAAGGAAAAGGCATGTACAGTAAACAACGGGGACAGTGGGACACAGCTGAGCTTTACCTCTCCCATGCTCCCAGTGAGTGGGAGCTCCATCCTGCAGCTCGGGAGCAGAAGGAGCAAGGAGGAATTCAGTAAGATGTAATGAGATATCTGCATTGGTTATGGACTTTCAAGGAAAGGTAGGAAAAGGATAGGAGCAACTGTTAACATGGTCATAGTGGCTGGAAGAAAGTTTGGTTATGGCAGTTTAAATTTCATCTGATTGTGGAAGATGAGGAAAAAATGTGACACTGAAGCCTGAGAGGAGATTGCTGTAATTAAGGAGGATTGTGGATTAGCCCTGGTTCACTAAAACCAACACAGTAAAAATAAACATTTTGGTTTAAATGCCTGTACCAAACTGGCTGCTGAAGAGTGAACCGAAGCAAGCAGAGAAGCCAAGAAAGCTACTGGAATCTGAGGAGGCACAGTATTTTAGGTGGGCTTTCATACTCAGTATGATTTTATTTCTTTCAGTGTGACAGTTGTCAGAGTGAAATCCATAGCCTGCCAGGTGTTTGCAGAACCCTTCCCCTTCCAAGTAAGCCGTGGAGGGAAAAGCTTTGAGGAGCTAAGGGATTGGGAGAGGAAGATGATCCATGAGAGAGTGTCTCATAAGAAGCAGATAGGCTGAGGGATGAAAGAGTTGGCAGACTGTTCTTTTAATGTGTGCAAGCTAACCCATAAAAGGAGGGGCAGCAGGAAGGATGGAGAGAAGTGAAATCAAACAGCAGTGGCACCAGAGCAAAAGAGCTCTTTCTGCTTTTTCATACATTATTTTGTGGGGTGGGGTGGGGTGGGGGGAGTAAATAGCAGTATTTTTTAAAAAATTCAGAGCACCTGAGAATCTAAAACCCAGAGAAGAGAGTGCACACTGGATAGCTCTGAACTAGAAATCAGAAGTTCAAAGTTATTTCTGTGTTGTCATTGCGTGGGCATGGGATTGAAGCCTGCCAGTCATCAGGAGTGTCAAGAGGTACTGGACTAATGCACGGGTGACAAGGCCATTGGCACATGGAATACAAGTGTCCCCATGCACCTCTGGGCTCTGGAAGTGTGTAAGTCATTGATTGGCAGAAGCTGTGAGGCTGCAGCAAGGAAAGGATCACTCTACACATGGATCACTCCTTCTGTGAGCATCTGGTACTGGTCCTGTTGCAAGATAAGGTGTGAGGCTGGAGGGCTCTGTGGTGTGCCTGTGTCAGGCTTTATTGAGGTAAGGTTGTGAACTTGGCCTTTTGGCTTGTATTTCTATGGACTGGGTTCTACAAATACTGGAACACATTAGCATTCTTTTGTTTTGTTTTGTTTTGTTTTTTTTTTCCAGCCTGTTTTCTGCCTTTCAAGAATACTGCAGCAAAAAAGATAGTACTAGTCAATTTTCTGATTTTTACAGGCAAATGGAGAGTTTTCATTAGTGTATATTTCAAAGGTAAAGAACTTACAAAAAAGAACCTGATGATGAAAACTTGAGAAAAACCTGTGCTTTGGAATCTCAATTTGAAGATCTTTGTGTTTGTACTGGTAAGTTTGATCACTAACTTGCCCATCATGAACTGCCTTAACTAGCACATGGATGCAATGGAGGTAAGAGTGGTGTTTATACACCTAATGGCTATTGGAAATCCCCATCACTGGAGTGTACAGTTGACATGCTTCAGGCAAGTACCAGAGAGACAAAATATTTCCATTATTATTTCACTAGAAATTGAAATCTGCTTTGGAGGAGTCAGAGACTCTAGTCCGGCTGATATCAGAACGTGGTGTTTAAAATGTTACAATGTTGACTTGCTGTTACAAAAATTCAGTGTTACAGGAAATCAGAAACAATATGGAATAGTTTACACTAACTCTGCATTAAAACGATCCATCTGTTCTTGCTTTAGGTTCTTAGAGAATTGCTTTTTCATCTCTGTAATGCTTTTCACTTCCTATTAGTAAGGCTTTTAAAGGTAGGCACTGAGTTAGTATAAAACCCACAGCTTTTGAGTTTAAACGCCTATTAAAACTAAAGCTGTCTGGAACTACAATAAAAATTTATTTTGGCTACAAGAGACAACTTTGAAACCTAACCCATCTGTATTTTTCCTCTTCCAAACAGTGCAACATCCTGTATAATAGAATATTTATCTTAAACAGAGACCACATATCTTTATAAAAACAATTGTTTCAACTTAATTTATGGGGGGTAATCAACTCATATTAAAATTTTCAGTATTCCAGGATGCTAATCTTAATTGGATACAGGAGATGTAATGACTAGAGTAATTCCATAGAATAATCTGAAATCTGATGTAGCCATTGATTTAGAATGTAACCTGTGTATATTAGAATCTGAAGTTGTCATTAAAAAATCACATGCAGGCATATAGTAATTGCAAAACACCTGTGTGTGCAAATTAGGCATAGGACTGCAGCTATGTTTTACTGGTAATTTAGGTTTGTGTGTGACTTGCAAACTCAGTTACAGAATAATTCCACCAGAATAATTTATTTGAAAAAATTGAGCTGGTCTCTGCAATCCTTGGGCCCACCAGGGAGATAGCCACACATATCTAGCAGGGCAATGGTCAGTGAATTTATTGATGCAAATCAAAAAGCAAATTGCCTCACTGTGAAGAGCAGTATCCCTGGGATGCATAAAGCCTTCCACTGCCACGAGTGGGAGTCAAACATATCAAAGGGAGACTGGATCCCTGGGGTTTAGCTCCCTCCATACAATAGTTTGTCAGATTCTGAATTGAAAAGGACTGGGTTTAGCACTCTCTAAATATAACCAGCCCTGAAACTCCCACAGAGATTCCTTTCTGTCTGCCTTCAGACGATGAGATAAGGCCCCTTCTCCTGTGACTTCAGTCTGGAGTACCTCTGTCATCCCCACCCCAGCCCTGATAACAGCCAGCTTGGCACATATTTGAGAGCAAGATGTGATGAGAGTTTTGGGGGTTAGTCTTGCTGTAGATTGCAGCCTTCATCTTCAGAGTGAGCCTCCTCTAACATCTGCAGCATAGACTCCTAGCAAGGCATTTTGGCATCCAGGAGACAATTGTCTCCCTTCATTCTCTGGCCAGCTTCTTTCCATCATTTTGGGAACTGAAACCTTGGACAATCTCCTTTTCTCCCTGCATTCCTTCCTTTTTAGGCCTCCTCCTCCTCTCAATATACTTGTATGCAGCATCAAAGTTGAAGTATATTTGCACAATTTGCTCCCTTCCTCTCCCTTTTCCCCAAGTACAGCAGGATACACAGATTATGGACGTTAAAGCAGCACTTATGTGTGCTATGATATACACGGGATGTTCTGCCTACTTGCATGTGATTCACATCCTCATAAGCCCACAGGAAATCCCAGTAATATTTTTCCAGGCATATCTCCTGTGCTGAGGTGCTGAGCACAGCAGGGGCTGGAGGAAAGGAGCTGCTTGTGCTTGGGAAGTCCTGTGGTACATAAGTTTAGCTGGGAAGCACAGACCACTGTTATTTAGATGTAGCTCTTTTACCCAGTGGCAGTAAGAAATGCAGCACAAGGACCAAAGTATTTATTCATGTTTTACAGTAATGTGTGAATCCTCTTACCTCAGTGGATCCAGTGAAAGCAATTTTGTCAATGCCAACATGAGAGGCTATGGCTGCACCAACAATTGGACCAAATCCTGGCAAAATATTGACAACTCCTGGTGGAAAGCCAGCCTGTCAAAATAGGAATGAATGAAGGTAAGCATGACTTATGAGAACTGTTAGAGCACGTTAAAGCATGTGCTGGTGGCTCCCTCCCCACAAGGAGAGACAGACATCACTCCCCTCAATTATTCTTACCTCCTTGATGAGGGCACCCATATAGAGAGCACTGAGTGGTGTTTGTTCTGCTGGTTTAATAACTACTGTATTGCCACAGCACAGAGCTGGAGCAATCTTCCATGCAAACATCAGCAGGGGGAAGTTCCACTGTAGGAAAAAAAAAAAGTTCATAGATGGAAAAATATTGCCCTGGTGTTTTGTTTTCAAGATGTCAAGCTGATACCTCACTTATTTCTCAGGCTGATCCTCAACATAAATCTTTCCCAGCACAAAGCAAGGATTTTTTTTTTAAATAACTGCCATTAAGAAAAGAACAACAGTGACTTCTTAGTTCTTTCTCTCCTGTTCAAAGAAATACAACCCCCACCTGCAATCTCCATTTAAAAAGTTCTGTTATCTGTTAATTTTTTAAGTCACAACTTTTTTATTTCATTTAGTGTTTTGCTATTGGCACTCTTAATTCCCCCATGATAATAGGTCTTGCTTCTGATACATTTGGAAAGAACTGTTTGTTCATGTTAAGGTAGTTTTGGATGTAAATTTTATATCCCTGAATACATCTTAAGATATAAAATTTATACTCAAAATTGTATAATCCTTAATTGATGGAATTACAATAAAAAGTCCATAAATGTCAATGTTCAATCAAAGTATTTAATTTTCTTGAAGACTTTTTACTGAGAAATCTATATGGAAGATGTTAAAAGGACAGTAAAAACAAGTTGAGAAATGCTTTGCTGCTATAAAATTTTGTATTGTCATTCATTACAACTTCACTGAACTGCAGCAGATGATGTAGTGAATTATATTAGTTTGATGCACAAACATGCCTTGGATAAAAATAAAAGTAACAAAGGCCTGATCCTAGCAAGTTAAGTGGATAGTTCTGCTGATTTCAGTGAAAATGTCAGAGTAATAAAATAACTGTGTTTCCACAATCACTCTTACAAATGCATACAACAGTCTCTTTTAGACAGAGAATAGAAAATATCAGTCAGAGTCAGCCACTGGCCAGAACGTGTTGCTGCCTGATGCATATCAGCTGCCACTCTCAGACATCTCTCTAGCGCCTGGCTAGCTTGAAAAAATACACAACTGTCTTTCCTTCACAGAACACCCAATTTTTTACTCCCTCTGTTGTTTATAAACTCCGGAGACAAAGTGATGTTTTAATTCCATCTCCAGTACATAAACCTGGGAGGGGAGCTGTCGGGCCAGCAGTGTGCTAACAGCCTGCACTTCTAATGGCATTGCAAGGAGAGCTCACAGCAGTTTTATAGGGCACTACATAGCCCTGTTTATGCTACAGCACTGCCAAAGAGCATGTTTTGATGGAAGCTGGGATGTGAAAGAGGATGAGGAGTTCAGCGTTAGACTTGCTGTTTAATTTTATTTTTGAATAATGTATTTGCTCAGGCAATGGCCAAGCACATGCAGCAGCCTGGGCTGTCCTCTGGGACTGGTAGCGTGGAGGAAATACAGAACAGATCAGCAGTGGTGTTAGAACAGATGGATATGACAGCCATCTTCAGGCTTTGGAGAACAAAACTAGGGAAGAACGAACATGTGTGGTAGATGGCTGGGTACCCTGAACAAAGGTGTACACATCTGAACTAAATTAATCTGCTTTTGGCATGATCCTCAGCCTGTGGCCAAGTTTCTTCAGCAGGTTAAGCTCAGTGAAACAAGCATAAGAGATGTCCAGCAATGCTGGGGTTGTCATTTAGTAAATGCTTATCCATGTGCCTGGCTGAGGAACGGGGACAGAGCTGTGGAATCTTTCATTCATAAGGACCAAGTTGGGAGAGTGTGTAGGTGTTTGCAGGATGGCTGTAGCCACAGACTCTGAGTCATTGCATGTTTCTCTGGGTTTCTGCTGAGTGCCAAACACAAAAGCCACCCCATAACAAAGACATGGAGTAGCAACAAATATAAATAGGGGGAAAGGGCTTAACATTGTTAAAGTAAGCTTTTCTGGCTGCTCCTCTTGTAATGGAATTGCTCCGTGTTTCTGTTTAGTGGCTTTGTGGTGATGTGAGCAAAATAAAAAATCAACATCAACAAAAAATTTCAGAGAATGGTCTGATTAGTCCCTCAGTGTTTTGTCAAGCAAAAAAGCTTCCACGCAATATTTTAATAGCTGTATGTGAGCCTCCCATTGAAATTTCTGCCAGAACTGGTTAACTGGTGCTTCTGAAAAAGTTACCCTCTCAGTGCAATTCCCATGCAGTGTTCAGCAAGGTTTTATTATGAGGGTGTCTGCTGGGGTGTAGGGGGAGTATTGGATTTGATGAAATGATGTGTTTCTCTCTCCCAACAAATAAAACAAACATTTCATGTCTTCTATTAGCTACACAATGTTAATTGTAATGATATGTCTCCTGGAGTTTCCTTTTCTCCTCCAGCCTTGTAAAAGAAATAGCAGGAAAGAATGGAATTAAAATACATCACATTCTCCCAGGAACTGAGGAGCCTGTTAAATCACAGTAAAAACTAAATAAATAAAGAGACTACCACAGCAAAGCATCAATTTTCCATAAGTTGTGTGAACATCCATAACCACTGACAGCATATTAACACTGTGTTTTGCTTTGCTTGTTTTAATCATGTGAATTCTATGACTTGAGAACTTAACTCCTAATAACAGAGCCTAAACCCTATTAGCATGTTCAAATAAGCATTTGTGGGGAGGCTGTTAAAGATATGTCAACAATATGAGCTCAGCTTTTTTCGTAATGGAAAACACACATAGCTGAAGACCATGTTTTATGTGTCTTTAAAGAGAGCTGGTTCAAATGAAAATAAATAGAAAGCACTAGTAGAGATACTCACAGGGATGATCTGTCCACACACTCCGATGGGTTCATGTCTTGTAAACGTAAAATAATCTCCATCTGAAACAGATGAGCATGCTTACTCTCAAGTGCAGTTTGACTTGGCAGAACAAAAAAAAAATTAAAATAGAGGGAGGGAAAAAACTCTAAGGATCAGCCTTTGATGGCAGTAAAAGAAATAAAGAAGTCATGGAAGTGTTTTCTTGTGAGCCAGCATGGGAAACCTAGGTTCAGGAGCAATCTAATTGTTCTTTCTGTAGAACAAAGGAAGCAGGCTTCCCATCAGAAAGTAACCTGCTTTGTTCCTTGGCAAAGAACTGTACTGCACATAAAATTGCAGTAGCATGGAAGCACTTACTGGCCTCAGCTGATTTAAGGGTGAGAGAAGTGAAGAGTCACAAAGGCAATTTCCTGAAAGGCATGAGTGGAACACAGCAATATAAAGGTGTATCTACAACCCAAATGTGGGGTAATAGAGTAACATGCAGCTGACTCATCTGCCATCCAATGAGGACACAGGCAATGTGATGGGATGATGTACCACAATCTCTAGATGTGGCATGAAGAGGGAAAGTTTGTGCCTTGTGTCACTGAGCATCATTTACTTCCTGTGTTCTGGGAGCACATGCTGAGGTTACACATGCAGGTTTGTTCCCAGTTAACCAAGAGCCAGAAAGGGACCTGCTGTGTGGGGACCAGTTAAAGGATCAGTTAAGGTACTGTCTAACCAGTAGCTTTGTTAGCGTGCTCAGCCTGCATCTGTGCAAAGTAGATTTACTGCACCTTTGTACCTCAGTTGAGTCTCGTAGCTGTACAAACTAGCCCAGACTCAAACTATCTCTGAATTTAGGTCAGATGTTTTTCAGTGAGGCTACAGCTGAGGGAAAGGCTTTGCTAAAGGCATGAGCTGAATGTGCCCCTTGGCCTGTAGTGCTTGGTCATCTAGAAAAACGCAAATCTCTTAACTTGGGAAAATAATTTCAGCTAAGTATGTGAGAATGATGAGGTTACCTAGGCTTAATGGCAGGAGATGATTTACCAGGATAAGAAATGGTTAGACAGCGGAAAGGAGTAAGAGGAGGAGGAGAGATTACAGGGCTTTTGCTCCCATTGTTCTGTCTGACACAGGGTATGTGCTTTCCCTCCCAGTCTGGGCTGGGAAGTGGCTGCCCCAGCCTCTCCCCCGTTCAGTCCAGAGCTGCAGCCACCCTTGTGCAATACTGGGGAAGGACCCGACTTCACAATGGACAGTGTGTTTTGGGAACCTGCTGCAATATCCTCTAAGTTATATCTGGTAACAATGAACAGTTAATCCTTAAAGTTTCTTGGGTTTAAGGAAAGACTTCAACTTGAATTTGATTAGAAATAACTTATTGTCAGGTCTGCTTATTTCTATCCATCTACTTTACAGGATTTGCTCAGTAGAAACCTGAGCTGGAGTAGCTAATATGTCAGCTGGGGGCCAAATACAGAATAATTATGAGAAAGGTAACAAGTCTGCAACCAAGACCGGGACAGAACAGAGAAAATAAAGGAGGGAGGGAAAGAGAGAAGAGAGATTCAGGAAAAGGTAGAAGAAAATAGTTTATCAGTTAGTTTGCTCTGCATTGACAAAATATTGTTGTGATGTTTTGATCTCCAGAGGTTTGACAACTCCCCAGTGGAGATGAGAATATTTGTGTCACAGTCTAAGATGATCAGTTTGGTTTTCCAGGTTATCTTTCACAGATGCTAGCAGTGGTTCACAGACCATAGGAAGATTCATCAGATCTGACGGAAGCAAAGTAGAAGTCAAAATACAGAGAAGTACATACAAGAAAACTGCCTAAGTGCTCAAGGGAACACAGAGGAGTCAGCTAAAAATACCAGTTTGTACTCAGTAGTACTGTGAGAGGTGGGTTCTCAGCCAGAAGGATGGTGGCAACATAACAGTAACACAGTTACATTAGCACTGTCTGACTTTAGATTGTCACTGCATAATCACTGCCACATGTCTGCGTGCTTCATCACACAGAGTTATAGATAACCTGAACCTCTTGCCAAGGCAGACAAATGGTGGTTAATTCTGCCCAGCGTAGGCAGGACGTTCTTTCCGCAGAGCGGTGCCTCCCATGCAGAGCTGCTCTCCCTGCTGTCTCCCACTAGACTCTAGACAGCTGCCCTTTTTGACACCTACTTCCAAAGTTCATCATCCACAGATTTTCTGTCAAGATGGGATTTTTGAAGTTGCTTTCTAACAATATCTTTGGGAACATATGTGACTTGAAGTTATTCAGATGCCTTGGTTGTCTCTGGACAGGCCAAAGGTGGATCTAAGAGCCACCTTGTCCATAATGTAGAACAAGCTGTTACCATGGCAAAACAGCTCAAGAATTAAATGAGCTTAATTCCATTATTCTAAACAGTGAGCACAGAGAGGTCCCTTGTGCTTAGAAATTATACAGGAGACTTTTTAAATGATTGAGGGTTTTAAGTCGTGCTAATGACCCTTATTCTAAGATGCTGTGGCTGATGATTGTTACTCTTATCCTTTCCTAGCTGGCTGCCAGAAGAACTTTGCCTGAGAGAGGGACCTGACACTGATCCCGCATCCAATCTGAAATTTTGTGTTAAAAGGGTATTTTTAATATACGCAGCTGAAGTAAACTGACATTCTTCAGTCCTCACTGATATTAATAGAGCAAAATCAATTTGCAGCTGCTTAGCACCTGGCCCAAAGACTTTCATTTTTTAATCAGAAAGCAAGTCCCATTTATCCAGGGATCTCACTTAGGGACAGCAATATCTTCCACAGATGTGTTTGCTTAGATTTCCATCAGGAGTCTCCAGCATGGATATTTTATTTGCATAACAACCATAATACAGTCCCATGCTTCATATAGCAGGACACAGCAAACAAGCGGGTGAGGAGAGCTGAATTGGTTCTTTAAGCTATATCATAGCATATATTGCTTTAAAAATACATTTCTGCTTGCATTCAGTTTATTAGTTTAACAGTTTCTGGTCTAACCTCATTCTGTTTTAATTTAAATCATCAAGGCTTTACGCTTGGGAGCAAGCAAAGGGCAGTCTGAAGGTTTTGTAGCTCTGGGGCCAAAAGGAATGTGACTGTAAAACACACTTCTTCTTCTTCTACTTGTCTATCAATTGCCTATTTTTATTTTAAAGGAAAAGATAACTTCAACAAAAACAGCAACAACAAAAGATTGAGAGGTTTCAGATTTATTAGCACACTGAATGGAAAGACAAGATTTAATAGTGGGGTTTTTTTGGTTTTGTTCTTCCTTATCTTTGGTGAGCTGATGGTAAGTGAACGTAAAGAGCACTGCTGTTTAACAGTGGCTTTGCCCTAAAATAGCTTCATGAGAATGACAAATTTATGGTGCAAAAGCAGAGGAATAAAGAGAAGTGTTAAATGAAGAATAATTGATCCCTTGAAAATCTGTGAACGGACTTATAATTCTACACTACTGAAAACTGTGTTAGCACAAAGTTTGCACTGAGGAAGGCATGCTGAAAATGTGCCTTCCTTTCACTCAGCATAGTCCACCTTACTGAAAAAAACCCAGGTTTTATCCTATAAGGTACTTGAAACCAAGAATAAGAAGAGAATATTTATTCTCTTTAATCTGGCAGTGCCTTTTGGTGGCTGACCTAATTTCTGTGTACCTGTGGGGCTAAAGAGTGAGAAGGAGGCATTCACTGACCAGGGAGAAAGAGATTAGGGAACAGGAAATTTGCTGAATACGTGACTTTATGGTGTGGTCTGCACTTTCGTGTGATTAAATGTGAAGTGCAAGCAGCAAAACTGGGATTTACGAATCTCAGCCTAAATAACTGTGGAAAACTTTGACTCCTTGCAGAAAGGCCCACACTTGAAATATTATTATTGTCATTTCTTTGGTGAAAGTAAGATAGTGAAGATAAACACCAGTCAGTGCACGCTGCAATTTTAATAATATGAAAATGAAGATGAGTAAAACTGCAAGAAGAGTTACATGATGTTTCCCTCCTGAAAATTTTGGAGGCATATTTTCAATTTATCTGCTTGCCTCACTTGGGTAGTTTGGTGCTTTGCTATAGAGAGGCGAGTGGGTGCATTTCACTGTGTCCCACAGTGAAACACAGAAACAGCTGGGCAACAGCAACAGGCATTTACCCCTGAGTGTGCCCTCCTGGGTAAGTGGAATAAACATGCAGGAGTGTGCCCTTACTGGGTAAAGTGGAATAAACATGCATGTGCAATGAACATGTGCACCATGAATCCACATAATGAATGTTTGTTTTCCTTAATGTTTTTCCAGTGATTTACTTTATGCAGGTGAAAGATAAGTACACTTATCTTAATGACTGCACCTACATAAAATAATTTTATTCGATTTTGCCATGTTGTGTAATTATTACACTTGGTACATGTAGTCCAGACTGCGAATGAATTTGTTTGCATCAGACAATGCAGCCTGTATTTGTTCAACAGCTGGGAGGGAGGGGCAGGAGGAAGAAACTTGTTAAATAAAAATAATGGTAAGGATTTTTTCACATCTATTTAGCAAAAGAATAAGAACATAATTTCCTAGCACACAAGAAAATTTATCTCATATATACAATATAAAACTCATCCCACTGAATAATTTGAAAAAGCATCTATAACAAAATGTATCTCATATGTATGTAGTTCTCTACAGTAACAGTAAGAATGTTCTCAAAGTCTAATTTAAGTTAGATCCAGTGTTAGTCCAAGCTAAAATTATTTGCATCAGCAGTAAGAAGTCATATACAAACAAGATCTATACATAATGATACTGTTTCTTAAACAGGTACCCAACACTATTTTCATGAGTTCCAAGGTATTTTTCAGGCTTATATCCCATCCATTTTTATACATGTATCAATATTTAAATGTAGGTATTGAGCTATCTCCTTCTCAAGTGGATGCATGCAAAAGAAACCAACCTTCCTCACATGTGCATGCGGGGCAGACCAAGAGCAGGGCACCCAGTCCTGCCCTTGCTGACCTTCCAACATTGCTTCAGCAACACACCACACACTGCAGGAGCAACCCAGGCTCCTGCTCTGCCTTCCACAAAGCTGTGAGCTACTAAGCTTTAGTCTGGCCATGAGAAGGTTTAGGTACATAGCTGTGCTTTAATTCCCCTTACCTACAGGAATGGTCATTCCATGGATTTTGTCTGCCCAGCCAGCATAATACCTCAGGGTTTTTATGACTCCCTGGAGATCGACATAGAAAGCTTGCAAGAACGGTTTGCCGCTGTTCAGTGATTCCATAGTCTGCAGGACAAGAAAAAGTTAAGAGATCTAAGTATTGTAACATTTTTGCACTATTGTACCTAAGTATTCACCATTTTAACAGCTCTTGAACCATGACAAAGATTTTAATGAAGACCAATCAGTTGCACCTTAGTGTAATTTTAACCCAGAAGGCTCAGAACAATTCTCTGATCCCCTTTGTCACTTTTTACAAATGTGAACAAAAAGTATTTTCCTTGAAAAACCCAAACTGGTTTCTTCTAGAGTATTCTGGAATGGATGTGATTTTAAGAATATATGTGTATGTTTACGTGTGCTTGTCTGTCCGTCTGTCTTGTGGATTTATGTGTGTATTCACATGCATGTACATGTGCCTTTGTGTACTTTGAACCTAATAGCCACTGTGTTTGGTCCAGATCTATAAATGCTGAATTGCTTTAATCAGGAGCCAAGATAAAAATGCCTGTCAAACTGGGTTCTGTTATGTTAATGATAACAGCTGAGAAGGGGCTCCTTGTAGCCCTGTATTAATGATCTGAATCCATAAAGAGAAGAATGGACACATCCCTCTTTATATAATTGATGTGAATATAAAAATTTCTCTATATGGTTGCCAAGACTCCTGCTGAGGTCTGAGATATCTATACTGTACAGCCAGTTTATTTATTGCCATCAAATAAACAAACTTTCCTCTAGGGAAGCTCATAAATTAACAAGCTATCTTTATTTTTTAGTTAATATTCCTATTTTTAAAAGTATCTTATAAGCTGTCCTCTTAGGGGTTCCTAAGATCATTTAGCAAAAAAAATCCAATAAAATATCCTAAGATGTTGAGTAGCTTAACTCATTCTCAATAGCTGTCCAATAGAAACCATTAAGAACGGGCAAAGGACGCCCCTGTGTAACACACCAACCATCAAATGAGTTTCTATAGAGAAGAATGGAGGCTTAATTCTGCACTGACTTATATCCCCAAGAGCAATTAATGGCACTGCCTGCAGTGCAGCTCAGTAAAGAACTTGGCTCCAGAAATAAAAATTAAATGACAGGCAGAGTAAACTTGATTTGCTGTGCACTTCCTTCTCCCCATGGCGATTTTACAGTATCTGCCGGCGGTAAGATGATTTAAGTGTTGACAAAGCTGGAATTAAGATGTTCACGGGCTTAGTTCAAAGCACTTGACATGCGGAAAACAACATTAACAATGCCACCGTTCCGACGGCTTCATCCCCGAGCGCAACGGAGCTGCGCTCGCGATTCGTGTCACCAGCTGAGGGTCCCAAAGCACCTCACTTGCCCTCCCCTTCCCGCCTGCCCAGATCATCCCAACCTGCCATTTCTTATTCTAGAAGAGTTACAGGCGTGCCTGGCGGGCGCACACGTGTGCACACCCCTGCTGTTGTGGGACGTCCAATTTAAAGCTGATCTGAGCCCGCTGGAAGCCTCTTGTTGGCTTTTATGGGTTTTGCACCACGCTGTAAATGGACAGAGCCATTTCAGCCAGGAAGCTGTGTGTGGTTTTCACATACAATTCATATCAACCCCATCATGAATGAATTGGCTCTCAGAATGTAACTGACCATCAGTGTGACAACTGATTTGACTGCTGATTTTTATGTTTCACTTACAGCAAGAATTGCCCTGTCCCGTTCCACCAAGTCTGCTAACTTATCCAAAAGATGGCCTCTTTCTGAGGCATCCATTCTCCTCCAAACAGAACCAAGGGAAAAAGCCAGCCGAGCTGCCCTCACTGCCTTGTCCGTATCAACCTGGGAAGAAGCAAGAAGAAAACTGAAGATACAAGGTAAATAACACAAGCAGGCTTATGGAATTTGCTGTTATGCAACCTTAGTCATATGTGATGGGGTTTGGAACTATGATTAATGAAAGAACTGTCCAACAGCGCCATTCTGGACTGGTTGTTTTGATCTATTTATACATTTGTATTATCTTTTATACATTTAATTTATACATTAAACATATAGCCATTCATAGGATACATTACCTTGTCAGCTTCCTGAATGTCACAGATTTGTTCTCCTGTTGCTGGATTATATACTGGGAATATTCTTCCACTTTCAGAATTCTGCCACTCATTATTGATGAAAATCTAGAAAAGGAAGAAAAGTCATCAGGTGTCTTGCATGAACAAACAGTAATGTATATAACAACAAACTCATGAGAAAAGCTGCAGATTCTAATACAAAATAACTGAAACTTATTTTTGTGTGTGAAAATTACAGTTTTCAAGAGTTCAGGCTGAGGTCAGCCCCTGATGTCTTTCTGTATTCTATAGCAGTGTCATCATAGAAGCAACATCAAAGTCTAAACATTGGTTGATGTTCAAATTTGGTTCAAAAACTGTAACAAATAAACTAAAAAAAGAAATAGCTGTATCAGAGAAAAAGCCTTGAAACTGCTGGAGACAAGACAAGGATTTGGAGTAATCACTCAGTTCAGTAAGTAAACATTTAGTCACTGATACATCCCAGTCAAGGCTGAATAATCTCAAACATCACAGTTCTTCAATACACAGTCAGTTAATTATGGCTACAGTGACGGCTTGCAGCACAAAACTAACTTGCTTATCTGCTAGGAACAATGGAAATTGTTACATTCTCTCAGTGTTGATATTTTAATTGTCAGGGGCAAAACAAATTTAAATGGTAATGGTGCTGACAACAGCTGTCTTGAGAAAGGTAATGACAAATGAGTTTATTTAAAGTAGATTTTTACTGGTAGCTGCATACATGTCCGTTCTTTTCTGCTGAAAGACTTTTAAGAACAGGATGCAATTATTTATTAGCAAGTATTAAAGAAGTCACTACATGAAAATGACCAAAAAGTTTTCCAGGTATTCAGACTCTTTCTTTTAAATCTTTCTAAGAATAAAAGTGTTCCAAAAATCCAGGCATGATTTGGGTTCCTTGGAGTCCAGATATCAATGTATTTTTATTGGATTCCATGAAATGCAACTTTAAATGTGTAAGATGATGTCCTGGCCTCATTGAAATATACCAGAATTTTCCCCCTGACTCCACTGAAAGCAGGAGTTCACCTGTAGAGAGAAGGAATGTTCACCACCTGGTTTGTTTTCTTTTTGCATACAGGGCTGTGTTTATAAAGACAGGGACCTTTGAAAACTTGAGGAGTTCCAATCAGAGATACGCAGGTGAGAGAAACTGGCCCATCTTTATACACATGAAGGCAAAAATACATCTGTAGAGTTTTCAGTTACTGGACATGAGCTTGCTCAAACCTACTCTCCAAGCCAAATGGAAGTGCTGTAGCTGTGTTCCTCTCAGCAGGGCTTGTTAGCTCAGCTCAGTGCCACAGTAGCTGCAGTGTCACAGCTCCTGCTCCAGAGCTCACTCCTGGCCATGTGTGGGGGGAACCTGTGCCTGCCTGGAAAAGACCCTGCCAATAGAACTGTACACAGAACCAACAATTCCATGTGCTTTTGCTATTATGGATGCATTTCTGTTGTGCTTCCTCATCTTCCCTCCTCCTCAAACTTCAACCTCTTTGCCATGTACTCCTCCATCCATTCCAGAGTCTGTCCTTTCTCTACTCCTCCTTGCTCCTTCTGTTTAGGTTTTCAAAGGTTGCTGAACTCAGGACCTACCTCACCGCTACCATTGCTTTCCTTGCATGCCCTGTTTATCCTGAACCTGTTTGCATCCTTGGACTGTGTCTCAGACTGTGCTGGTGTCTTCCTGCTCAGTGATGACCTGTTCAGCAAACCCAAAACTGGTCCCTGTTAGGACATTCTGGAGCTAACCCAAAATGAGATAGTGAAAGAATCACCAGTATGATCTCTAGTGACCAATGCCATAAGCTGAAATGGTCTATCATTGTCACTTTTAGACCATTAGTGAAGCAAAGAAACACTGAGATCTGTGACCTCTGTAGAAGAAGGAATTTATTTCATGCTTTCCACTGAGTTTTCTCAGAGTTAACTCTGCACCCAGTGAGTGTGTCAGGGGGTGCTGAGGAGGGAGGGGAAGGGAGAAAACTTCCAGCTTCAGGAGCAGATGGCCAGAGAAGATGTAAGCATGTTTGTTTAAGGTGACAGGACGTACATAAACACATGGGCTTCTTGTGTGAGCTGCATTGAAAGAATAAAGCAGTTTGGTTGAGTACAAGAACCTGAGAAATTGTGGCAGCCACAATTCAGTACATTTCCCTTAGAGCAGTGGTCTGTTCTTTTTTAAATAGATTAAAAAAATTTAACTCCATTCTGCTGGGATTAACACCTATCATCAGGTTTGCTAGTACACAGGACATATATTCGTTCTTGAAATACATTTCACCATAGGAATGAGAAATAGTCCTGTGGATTACAAAAGAGTGCTGCAATTCAAGCTGACTGGAAGGAAAAGCTGTGTGGTTTTATTGAATGCTCCATTTATCGCACTGACTTAGAAAAAGAACAGTAATAGTAAATATTTCAGATAGGACATGGGAAGGATCTATTTGGCATAAAGTTAGAGCTGAAAGCAAGAGAAATTGCTACTGTTAATGGTTAATGTTAGTTTCTTCCTGTTCCACTTTCTATAAACAAGGTATTGCCTATACAAGCTCATTACTGTAAACTGAGCACATTTAAATTGGCAGTAAAATCAGAGTATTTACTCTTGTGCACAAATAAAATACCTAGTCCTATGTTTTGGAACAGTTTCAAGTCTTGAAATCCAGCAGCTGGCGGCTTTACAAGCAAAGCCTTACACTTAAATAATTCACTTTTGAAAGTTTTAGGTGTTCTGTGTCAGGTAGTACCATTCAGCAGATATTCCTACCACCGAGACGCAGATTCTTTTGCAATAAATTTGCATTCACAGGGGCTTTTATAACTCTTCCAGCACTACTGACTCCAATGGCTGTTGATTAAATGTATATATCCTGTACATTTAATCTGACTTTCATTATGGCCACTTCGTAAAAATGCCATGAATTGGAGAAGCGATGACACATTGCAAGAAAAAGGAATCCCTGCAAAGCCTCAAATTGGGTTTTTTTCTCCCTTATTTATAGTGATCATGCTAAAGGCTAACTCTAAATCAGGGGGAATATTTGACAGCAAATGTTCCTATCTATGGATTATATATAACCCATCCTAAACACCAGATAAAAAAGGGGTAACCTTAGAAAAAGAAGGGCTTGCTTCCATGTAAATCACGCTACAAATTGGACAACACCCAGTGAGTTCATTGTTCAACCTCAATTGTGAAGGCTATTCACATTTACTATTCCCCTGGAATCAATGTTAATTAAGGCTGACTTGGGCTATAAATCAGCCTTTGGTTTTTACAACTTAATTCAGCATTAAGCATATATATGTAAATAAAAGGTAACTGATTAACCACTTGAGTTTTCCAGGAGTTACTGAGGTAATTTGTTTTTGTTTGAGTCCTAGTGTTACCTTTTGTGATATGCAGTAGGGAGAAGAAAAAGTCTATAGTGTGTCATGCATTTGCTATGTGGTATTGTGGCAGTTAAATAATCTGGCCTGTTGGGTGCTATCAATAGCATTGTGCCAAAAGGCAAAGGGAAGAAGGGAGCACTTGAAAAATCCTGGAATACACAAACATTTTGTTTGCCATTTACTCTCAGTAGAAGCAGTAATGGCCGTAATGTCAGAGCAAGAAGATAAAAGGCCAACTTTGCTGCTGTACTGAGGTGTCCCTGGCAGTGCAGTGATTTAGCCAAGAACAAACCCAAGAGGCAAAGCAGCCAAGGCTGCTGTGAGTGCAGTCTGGCTGCAGCTGGTGTGAGGTGGGCGAAGGAGGATACCAAATACCTTTGTTCCCCAGTGATGCCAAAGAGACCAGCAGAGCAGGGCAGCTGGGGGTGCAGGTGCTGGGGTGTGTGGGGTTGGGGGGTGGCAGGGGCTGTTCCAAACAGAGCAGTGTGACAGGCCTCGGTGGGAGCTCCCAGCTGCCCCTGTGAACATGATGCCCCTTGAGTGTCATCATTCTCATGAGATCTCATCACACAGATCTCTGGGCAATTTCTGTTCCTTTCCAAATGAAAGATGGAAAGGGCATGGATTTTCCTAAGAGAACAGTCACATCCCTCCTGGTACTGACAATAACTCATGTTCTCACAGACCTTTTACTAGAACTTTGCAAGATAATGGTCCCACCATGTATTCACCAGGTTCAAATCCTGCCTGTGGCTAATTATATATGGCCTCTGTTGACAGAGTTCCACAGGGCTGATCAAGAAAGCAGTCTGACTCATCCTGCAGGTCAAGTGACTGTTCAGTGCTTTAGAGATACCTCATCATACCAAAAAGTATACAAAGGAAAAGTAAACTCCAAAGTTACCATGCAGAAATTCCAAGTTACTTTGAAACTGCTGACGTGTAGTTGGAAGAAAATCATACATTGCATTTTGCACAAGACCTGTATTTCACAAGCATTACACACTGAGTTCAATAGCATTTTGGATGCTCATCAGTTTTGAAATCAAGCCAAGAGCAAATGTTTTTAGCATGACACAAAGCAAATTTAGCTTTGCAAATAAACAACTACAATCTCTTTTTTCAGTAGCCATCCATCCCAGCTGGCTTAATAATAATTAGCAACTTAATGTTAATTTTAAACCATGCAGGTAATTGGAGTGATAAGTATTCAAAGAGGAAGGGATGTGTACAAACCCAGTCTGGACATTCTGATCTGCAGTGCAGCAATAGCAAAATTTAGAGTAGGGAGAAAACATGTTTTCATCACTATTTACTAAACAACTATCTTTATGAGTTTGTGTATAAATATAATTAATTAAAACAAAGCACAGAACTAATACCTCCTTTGCAGCTCTTAGTTGAAGGAGCTTTAGTTTCATGGCACTTCAAATTCCCTCTGCTGTTGAGCCAGGGGCTAGCCCTGGATTTGGGAAACGGAACTGATTTTTACATTCACTGGGGATTCCTGCATGCTCAGTGCCTCTCTTTTTTGTATTGCCTTTCCTTAAAACATACAGAGGAAAAAAAATATTTTGGGCTCTCTTAATTCATAAGAGTAATCAACACAGGTGGCAACAATGTAACTTTTCATTTCCTTTCTTGAAAATGTTCTCAAATGATGTGTGAGTGAAATGATGATCTAC